GGCCAAAATTTTGGACTCGGTATGTTGACGATACCTTCGTCATCATTGAGCCTACTACGGGATTTAAATGCATGACTCTGTGTAGTGTGCCCCTTGGGAACCACCTTTCTAGCGCTAGTCTAGCCATCCTCTCACTGGCTCCGCCGATCACCCTGGCTTTCTTAAATGAGAAGGTGTATTTAAGCTGCTGACCGTGATTATAGACCAACGACAACTGGTCTTTCCGGTTGATTGTAAATTGACATTCATGTAATCTTGTACCTAAGCGTTTGTCAATTTCACCAACATACCTGACATTGCAATTTTGGCACGGTATGCTGTAGACCACTGCTGATTGTTCGCTCACTGGCAGCGGGTCTTTGGGCTTCATGCCCTTGCTGTCTGATTCTGGATTCGTGTCTATGAGCCACTCCAGTCCCAAAAGGTCCTAGGCCTATGAAATTGTCCCCTCTTCTCTTTCATTTTCGGGACATGGTACACAAGATATGATGTCTGGACCTCGAATCTGCGCGCATATATATATATGGAATGGATCCGACAAAGCAAAGGGAGACCGGAATGGCCATTTTTGGCTTGTTAGCCGTCATCAGCCAGTCATACCCAATCTCAAGGTTTGTAAAAAGAATAGGAAGGACGAGTGGGAGTACAGTAGGCGCGTACCGAGGAGATAGAGACAACCAGCGTGGCTCACGAGGTTCGAGGAAGGTGAGGATGGTGTTGACTCTGGTGACAGTAGAAACCACTGCCCTCCAAGTCGCACTGGCTCTTCATCTCCAACACCCATCTGTGGACAGAAGACGGCAACCCTTGTACATTCGCTGGCTGCAATGCCCACCACGAAGACGCGACCGTCCAACTCGGCAGCCCGGCATTGCACAAGTTTCTCAGGCAGGGCTGGAGCTGGATGGGTCCAAGTGGAACCAGCAGCGGCTGGAACGCGAAAGAAGGCGTCATTGTCATTGACGACCGCATGACCTGGCTCACAGTATTCCACGGACTGCAGACAGTCACACCATTCACTATGGTCACCAATCACCAGAACATACCGATCCTGTAGTGACACCAGACACGGCCGTTCGCGGAATGTCTCCTGCTTTGGACCTTTTTTCCACCTGAAGATGGAGATAGTACAGGTCACAGTAACACCTCTACCTACCACTTCCGCATGCTGAGTATTTCAACCTACTGACTACAAATGAGTAACATATATATAATAACTTGGTGTATCACATTGCGTTATGTGGTGTTACTTTAGCCCGCCATGAGTGGCGCAGACCACCAACGATCCCAAGAAGCAGACACACGGGTAAGTTAAGTTTGGCTCCCCTGGAGTGGATCGGGCTTTTGCAGTGTCTGCCCCATTCTCCCTCCTTTTCCATGTTCAATGTGTTCTGATGGCAAGGCCAAGGCAGAAAAACCTGGCACAAAAGTGAGTTAAAGAGGCAAAAAATCCGTCTACGCATGTCATACACCATCGGCATTTATTTGTACTTCGTAAGGCTGTTATCATGCCTGATCTAGCCGGCCTCGGAGACATCACGATTTCAGACGATGTATTTAAAAATGTCAAACCCTTCTCTTCTCCAGCGACGGAGACTAAATACTGAATGTCCAAGAACCACCTCCATGCCCTGACAAAATGACTGGAGCCAGGTCGTGAGGTGGCCTCCTCAGTCGGGTCTCCTTGTAAGCAACGACGCCGGAACGCGGACAGTATAAATAATCTCGTGAGGCGGCCGACAGAGAACGAGTCCAAACCACCTCAGTTATCTTTCTTTGATGGTCGCAGATATCCTCGCAATATTGTCGCGGCGAGCACGGACTTCCGTAACCAAATTAGTGAGCCCAATAAGAAATTCGCGATTGCGATGGAGAGAAACAACGGGCCCGTGGCTCAGGGCAGGAGTATTCCACTCAATTGCCAGAGGTCACGGGTTCGAGTCCCGGGTGATGGGGTGTAAACATGACTGCCTGATGGTGGCTTGGAAGCCAGGAATGGCAATTCCAGTCTCTCTTGTGTACGCTGTTGTCACTTTATCACCATATAGTATGCCGAGTGCTACAAGAAACATTCCGCAATTTGAAAAAGACCGGCAAGCAATCGCAAAACAACATTGCGTAGAGTTGCAATACTGTTTATCATGCAGTCCAATTTCGATTACTTTCAGTCACGTTAGGATGCCAACTCTGTGATAGGCTTCTTTTTGACCGCTGCGAAAAAGTTGATTATGTAAAAATGGCTACTTAAATAGTATGTCTTTTTATCATTGATTTTGACTGCCTTTATATATTTTAAGGAAAGCATGTACGAAAAATCCTCTCTTGTACTTATTTGATAACAAATTACGCCTTCTTTAAA